TCCTGAAATATGGCAGTGTGCTTCCAAATAATCTGACTTGGAAAAATTAAACCAAATTAAATAAGTTTTTGCTGCTTCAAAACCCTTTCACAGGAAAAATAATTTTGAAACATTTTTACAGCATACATGTCTAAACAAGTGAGATTCCTCTAACATAATATTCTAGTTTGAAGAGCAACTGGTGACTGGCAAAAAGCTTGTTCGATATGGAACCTTAATACTGGCATATAAAGTACTTTTTTTCTAATATTCCACTAAGACCATAAAATCAATTGTAAACTATGAAACTTCAGAACACAGGCATGTAGCAGGTGAATTTTGTCGATATAAAACCAGTATTTGCAGCCCATTTGATAAAACCAAGAAGTAGTTCTGATTTGAAAGTACCAATCAGAAAGGGACAAGAATTCAAAGTTCTAGAGGGGATTTTTTTTTTTTTTGGTAACACAGACACACAAAACAAACCCAAAGTAATTCAGTCTCATCCGGTTTAACCTCAACCACGAGACACCGCTGTCTGTTTTCTTTCTCAAAAGACTCACGTCACTGCACTGAAAAAAAGGGAACTTCCACAGTTTGTGGTAAGGATACACGATAAACAGATCTGTTCACACCAACTAGCAGGGCTGCCTGCGTCAATAAAAGGGGTAGCCAAGTCAGTGAGCTGACATTTGGTGCTTGGAGGATTATCGTCGCAAAAGTCGCTTCACATTACAGCTAAGTACAATGCCAGGATTTTTTTTTCTCCATAACAACATGACTGAATTAAATGGAAAGGAAGACTGCAAGCTTGCAGAAGGCAAAGTTCATAAAAAGAAGCAAAAGGCTTTGTAAGTATATATGTCTTAGTATAAACTCTAATGTATTAGAAGTGAAATTAAGTCTAGAATCTTGGAGGTTAAGAATTAGCACTGTGTTTTGGGCTAAACGACTGCAAAGCCTGCTCAAAGCCTAGGACTACAGCATCATTAAAAATGGCATGAGCTGATGCATACCAGCTAATTGATTCCCTTAAGTAATCCGAGGTAGATTTTGGATACACTGGGAACTGCTCAGTCTTCTGAAAAAGGGTTACTTGGATTTGTAGCTTCCCAGACTTCAGTCACAGGATGGAGCTGTCAGCCTCTGTTTAAAATTTTTAAGCAATTTAAGTAGAAGTGAAATGCAACTGCAATTTTAATGGATTATAAAAATGTCTATTCATTGCTTTCAGTGGTGCAGATCTCAAAAACTATTTGAAGTGCATGGTACCACATATCGAAACTGGGATTAAGACTTCTAACTCCAGAAATGTCATGTAAGTATTGAGATACACTAAGTTATAACAAAATATAAGTATAGCTATATTACTTCTATTGTAAAAGACTTTATTAATTTCTAAGCTACTTCTAGACCAACAAATATTATAATAATGCCTAGAATTTCTACAATACAAAGAGGTGAACAGTAGGAAGTAGAAACTGCACATGGAGTTAGGAGTTTTTTCTTAGTGATGTCTATGTTTGCCTCAAACAGTGAAAGAGAAGACAACTCAGTTAAATCTGTTTTCTTCAGAGGGGCATTGTATCCATTCTCTAAAGATTTACAAGAAACGATGCTTCACGCTTAAGTGAAGAGCAGGGTATTACCATGGTTATTTCAGGAATATGGAACAGAAGTACATATACAAAATTATTTGGTCATAGTTACAGTAAAAGCTTATCTGTCTGCAAACAGAAATCAGGATATAAGATCATAGTTCCTTGTTTTTCCATCTCTCCGATTATTTTTTTCCAACGTGGGCTTGCCTCCAGGGTCTCAGATTATGGGAAAGCCATAAATTCAATAAATACCTGGTACATATTCCTAGAATAGAATAATTATAAAATCCATCTCCTTTAAACATGCAGATAAAACCAGATGGTTTCTTGCCTAAAGTCTTTTCTTTTTCTTGTCATCTTAGGCTTTCTGCAGAGGAAGTAACACAGTGGTCCCAGTCTTTGGAAAAGCTCTTGGCCAGCCAGAGTAAGTCCATTACTTCAGCATGACTTCTTTCTTATTCTTAGGACAAGATTTTATCTAATCTCACCAAATGGGCAAAGCTGTAGCATTCTGCAAACACTGCCAAAGAATGGCCAGTTGCATTTCAGTTACTTACAGCTTCAGTGTAACTTGGCTACTGTATTCAGCTTTGCTTCCAAGTTGGGGTTTTTTTCCTTCCATTTCTTACTCCTAGTACAGCAAATAAACCCCAAATATCTCAATTCACTGCTTTTTCATCAGTCTTCTGTCCTTCCATAACACATCAGTTTAATGTGGAATTTTCTCTCCACTTGTACCCTAAGGTAAGAGGACTAGAATCTATTGATGTATTTTGGTATGCAGGGTCTAGATCTAAAAGCACCAAACACAATTAGAAGACTCCCATCACCCTCAGTATTAGAGTATCTGTAGCATGTTGAAGAAGGGAAGAACAGTATATTTCGGCAAGATTTTATAACAGAGATTTTAATACAACTCCTGCTATTTATTTTACCTTCTCTGGTCACAAATATGACGCTATAAATGATGATGTATTTGTGTTGGCTTTAGGTGGTCAAAGCATCTTTCGGGAGTTCCTGAAGTCAGAGTTCAGTGAGGAGAACATTGAGTTTTGGTTGGCTTGTGAGGATTACAAGAAAACCAAGTCTGATCACTTACACGGCAAAGCAGAGAGGATTTATGAGGAGTTTGTTCAGTCAGATGCTATTAAACAGGTATGTATAAAGTTAATCTGTCTACTGTTACAGAACAAGGATTCTGGAAAAATCAGAAGATAGAAGTGTAGCTTCACTGAGATGCTCATACATTCATTCGGACTAATAGAAATAAGACACAACTGAATGTTTTTATGAGCACACTTGTATCGTTATTGTCTTCAGCTGTGAGATTATCAGATCTCACAAGTAGAGTTGCATGATACAGGCCAGTATTGGGAGCACAACTAGCAGAAGCTCAGCAGCTCAGCACATGATGCTGTTCTCTGTCAGCCCAGTTTGAATTACTGCTGGTGTTTGGAGTCCTGTCCTTAGAGAGAGCTTTCCTATTAGGAGACCTGTGGATCATTTCTTATCTGAAAAGATGTGGACATACAGCAGAATAAGAGTTTTTGTATGTTGATCATATTTCAAAACTGGAGACTCATTCTACACAAGATCTCTCCTATTGTTTTAACTTGAGGTTGTTCCTCTACTTACTCCATTGTTGAGTTGTATTACTACTGACTCCATAAGAAACTGCATTTCTGTAGTGAGTAGTGATTTTTGTGCATTACTGGGATATAAGTGTTATAATTCCCTCATTTTGCAGTTCTGATATTGCACTATCACACTGAGTTCTGAGACTGCAAATTCGTTTATTGACAAAACAAAGTGATACATATAGAAAGAGAGTACAGTTTAAAGATGTCAATGGCATTTATTTTTCCACTTTCCAGATCAATATTGACTATCAGATGAGGGAAGCAACAGCTAAAAGGGCTCAGGATCCAACTCTCACAAGTTTTGATGAAGCCCAGAAAACTGTTTACGTCCTCATGGAAAGGGATTCATATCCTAGATTTTTGAAATCCAAAGCCTACCTGAACCTTTTGAACCAGCTGCAAACCAACACTTCAAAATGAAGTGTTTGAGGCAGTGAAGAGCCAAGCAGACTCTGTGCTAGATATCCTGTGGGAGAGATCCTTCAAGGTGGTTGGATCTGGGCAAGGAGAACTCCCGCCTTGGGAGGAGGGGCACGAGGGACATGCAAACAGCTCCACAGCCAAGAAAAGGCAAGATAAAAGCTGGCAAGACTGTTACAAGGGTGAGAGCAGCACAGGGAGAAAATCCTCTCCTCCCATATGCTATGGAGTCAAGACAGGATATGGATACTATTTATTGTTTGAACTACACTGTGAACATTGAACCAAGTCTTAGATCCCAAAGCACTGCTGATTATTACGAAGTGCAAGAATAGCAAGCTGAGTGTTGGGAAAAGCTTCTCAAGTTCAGAAGAAAAATAAGGATGACTGGGAAATTTTGTGCATAACAAGAAAATGCCCAGACACGACTGATTAATGGCTTTTCTTAAAATCTGTGAATTGTTAATACATGTGAGTGCATCTCTATGTCGCTATTGTGCTAAGTAAATATATCACAGATTGACATATCTTGAAATTTATATATTTTAAGTTATCTAAGAACTGTATAAGCTGTACTTCTACTAAGTTTGTATTCAACAGGCAATATGTAGCATCATTTCTCTTTAATTTATTGTAAAATAATATGTAACCCTTCAATCAAATCTACTTAAAATAAAGTTTTATGGTAATTTTACATCTCATTTTAATTTGTCTTTCCATCATAACTATTGAAGTATTGAAACACTTAGCTCCCTTCTGTCCCACTATGCCACTACTTCCTATCTCCTTATCCAAATACTATTTTACCTCACACTACCTTTTCTCTTTCCTTTTTCCTTTTTTTTTTTTTTTTTTTTTACTCATTTGGCACAACTGTAATCTTAGTTATCTGGAGTCAGCGATCCTGACCCCCAAAAAGAACACAAAACAAAAAAACAGAAGAAGCAGGCCTAACTTTCCTTCCTATTTTTCATACTCGCTCAGTTACCAGTACTGAGATTCGACTCGGATGTAGAAAACATTTTATCACTGACCCCATAGTTCAATCCACTGTGATATTAATGATATGCTGAGCACAGCGGATCACCCATGCTTTCTTACATCGAGAGGCAGTAACTGGTGAGACTGGCTAGCAGTCACATTCCTTGTGATATTAGTACTACTCAACCTAATCATGGCCAAATCAAGACTAATTTACAATACCAATACTATCATCAAAGGTCATTTATTTTTACTGCAAATGGTGTATTAAACTTACTCTAAAATAGGTAGTTATGAGTATCCTACTGCACAGTGGGTAGTGACGAGAACTAAAGTAAAAGAAGAAAAGTTGCAGTTGTGCTTGAACTATGTAAGTCTGAACACGGGCACTAGCAAACGTGCAATGTTTAAGACCTTGTGACATTAGACTTCATAATGAAAATAAATCAAAGCATGCCCTGGTCTTAGTGAGTTACGATCTTGAGACACAGCTATCACACTGGTGGCAATATAAGATTTTATCTCGCCCTTGCAGATTTTCCACTTTCCACGATAACATGAGCTTAGTCAGGCACACTCCGTTATTCCGTACCAAATGGAGAAGCAGTAAACCCGCAGACGTCACCTTATGGGGAGAGCAGGCTGTGTTCACACTGCCACCCCTTGGGGACCTTGGGACCTCCCAGGGAGGACCAAATCTTCAGTATTACAAGCAAACCTCTACTGGAAGGAACACAGCTAAGTGGTAGATACTGCCAACATCTACCATCACCTGCTTTTGGAGCTGGAAGCCACTGCAAATCACATCTTCCTATTTTCAAGGCCAGTAAATGCAGAACAAAAGAATCTGGTCTTGCAGTATTATTTTCCTTTTATTAAATATGTACACCTGAGGGACCCTCCTATCGCAAAGCCTGAAAGTTCCTGAAACAATGTCAAACAGTCTCCAGGTGGCTGACGTTTGCATTTTCAGACAGGGCGGCAGGAATAAATCTTATTTCTGTGAAGAAGGAACAACAACTATGCCTCTCGCACAAGGGGCTTCCTCCTCTTTGTTCTGACACAGTTAACACGGACCAAATGTCACTTTTTGCATAGCTTCAACCTCATAGAACACAAGAGAGAACTATAAAATATCAGCTACCCTCTCAACAGACACTGCCTTTAAGTAACATTATTTTTTTGACTGTAAACCCGCTAAATTAGTATGGGCCCAGTCTTCATTTACTCCCCCTGCAGTTTCTCAGTTTTGCCATGATTTAGCCAGACACCTGTATGAAATATCTGTCTAAAATAGTATTTCATAGTATGACTACTTAAGGTTTTGGGGTTTTTTTTTTTGTTTTTTTTTTGTTTTGTTTTTTTTGTTTGTTTGTTTGTTTCTTCATTTTGTTTTTTTTTAATGGCTTGTTGCTGCCAGAGAAGGCTGTTCATCTTTCAGAAGCAATTTCACCTACTGTTGGGGGAGACCGCTGGGTGGGGAAATGGGTGGATATGTGTTTCCAGCTCAACACAGGACTTGGAGGCAGGTGTAACAAAAAGAAGGCGGCAGAGCCTGGAGTCGTACTGCGTTTGAGTGCTGCAGCAGCCACTGCTCACTTCAAGAGATGGCCAACACCACTGCCCATGCCCACGGCCCTAGGACTTCATGTTGGGCAGAGCAAATCTTGTCATTAAAGACAAAGTGCAACCACCACAGCTGCTCAGGTATTCACAGATGCTGCCTGGCACCCTGACCTCCTGCAAAGAGTCACCGGGTCTGCCCTCACAGGAAAGGCCGAGAAAGTGCCACTACAACGTGCCAGTTAAAGCCCTCTAAAAGTAAGCTAAACCTGTCCATAGCAGAGACTAACACAGCTCTCAGGGAGCTCACCAAGCACTTGCATTACACAGAGTTAGTACAGACCAGAATACTTGAGGAGGGAAGACTAAGGGACTTTTCACTCTTTTCCACAAGCACCTCTCCCTGGTTCATGATTTGGTACAGTATGAGAACGGAAAGGTTTGAGGTTTTTTTTTCCAAAAAGAAATATTCCACTCCTTACAACTCAACCTTGGTACATTTATAAGTCTTTCCCCTCATTTGCAGTAGGAGCCCGAAAACAATTACAAAAGTCAATCACCCAGCTTGTTAATACCAGAGATATTCCAGCCTGCTCCAGTGTCCCTGGCAATGTGACCATGTTTCACTAAGCAATAAACAGCCTAGCAGAAATTCAGAGCTGTCTCTGGGATGCTGTCGTAAGCCCAGCATTATACATTTGTTGCTAGAGCAGGGCTATACAAAGCTGGTTGTTTAAACAATGTCCAATAGATCTGCAAGCATTTTACGGCAATTTATAGTGCCATCCATACTAATCTACTTTATATAAGGAAAACGCTATATGAATAATAGTTCAATGGTACAACTGAAACAATTTTTACAGTATTTTCAGACACTTAACATTTACATGCTTTTAAATAGTCCAGAGATATGTTTTGGTTTTTTTTTTTTTCTTCAAAATCTCTTCTTCAAAATGCAGTATACAGCACTTCTTTCACAGAAAATTCTTTTTTTTAAATATTGCCTGAATGGAGGTTCTTTGGACTTGGAAAACCAGCAGAACATGCAAATCAAAGGGATTAAGGACTCAGTATTTTCTGTGACCCTTGGTTTATTTATGAGGTACATGCACCACACGAAGTTCATTTGTGATTTCCTACTCACCTCCTCCTCCTCCCCCGCCCCATGCACACAACTAGCCTCAGAAGCGCAGGTTGGTTTCACAGCTGTAAGTTGTGCCCAGCCCAGCATGGCAGGCTCTTCCAAAACAGGACATGTTACACACTGAATACGGAAAGTGTGTCTCCCTGGAAACTTCCCACACTCAAAGGAGAAACTTGTGAACTCTAGCTCTACTTACTATCTTGTAAATAAATTAATGGGCTATTGGGGGAAACCTGTCCTTTTTTGACATGTGCTGGACTGGGTTAATTATCAGTTAACTGCTAAAACTTTCCAGAACAATCAGGCTCTGACTGTCATCCAACATTTCTTAAAACATTTAGTACATATGCCAAACAGCTTTTTTTTTTTTTTAACTACATTTAACTTTCTCTTTTTGCAAAAAATATGCCATAAGACAATGGAAATTTGCTGTTCCATTCACAGTGTCTAAGAAAAACAGCTGAATCCGATTGGCCTTCAGCTACAGATCAGTATAGGAATGGATGCAGTACATGGAAAAGCTTTAAGATTTGACAGTAGTGATTCAGATGTTTCTTTAATTGTTCTACCCTGCCCCTGAAGGAAACATTTTCATTGTTTGTCAGTGTTTTAGTATAAGACTCAATCTTTGTACCATCTTCAGGAATACTTTTGAAGTTAATTAACTTTGCCCTGCTGCAGAGAGAAGTTTTCTTTATAGGAGGACTGAAGAGTCTAGCAGGCCCTGAATATGAACGTAGAAGACCAACTTTAATCTCTCCAATTTGGAAAACCTTCACTAAATGCATTCCCTGAAATAGATATTTTTAATGTTATCCCAAATAGAATAACAAAAAAAAAAAAAAAAAAAAGAGGAAAAGGGGAGAATCATTTTCTCTTATCGAAAAGGCCATCCATGAAAGCCTGTTCGTAGACACATCCTATCATTACGCACAGTGCGGCAGGAAGAAAATTAAAGATGAAATGGTGATGAATAGTACTAATTCATCAACTTAGACCCCTCAGTGTCACCCTGTCCCTGCCCACACTCTGAAGCAACAGGCGGTCCTGATATCATCTCCTTCACGGTTGTGAAATGAGTTTGAAAAGCAATAATAGATGACAGTAAGTGGAAAAAATCAGATGTTCTGATCTTCCATTCAGAGCCATGGGTTGATTGTATCAGAGAGTATAAAGTCTATAAATGAAGCTTTTAGCAAGTCAGTCTTTAGTCATTAAACATGGGCAGAAACTGTAAAACAAGCTCTTGCTTAATATTCATTGGATGATTCAAGTTTGTCTTGGATGCTCAGAAACAGTCAGAGAGGAGGTTAAGGTTATCGTCTGACTTTGGAGAAATACAGCCTCAAAAGGTTTTGGTCACCAAAAAAGATATTTACTTCCATCAAGAAATAATGTGCTTTTTTTGGAAAAAACCTCATTCTCCCTTGTTTCTCAAAACAGCCCCAGAAAGTACTCTCTTGAAAGTCCCCAAAGATGATCAACATTTAAATTCTAGCGAGCACTTCCCTTCAATTTCTTCAAACAGCCTAAGCACCACCCAGCCTTAAAGCACTTATCTAAACTAGTTTGTTG